GTGCGCCGTGCGCTGTGGAGCCTTTCTGCCAGCTGCGTGTCCGCGAGCGCCTCCTGCCACGCAATCGCCCACGCTATGACGGGGCCAGTGTTGACTAGGGATCCTGGGTCGACGCCGTCACACAGTAGCGTGAGGCTGGTCGACCCCTGGTGCTGCCCTCCATCGCCGTCGCCGCACGTATACGTAGTTCGTTTAGCTTGGAATCTGCCATGCCGACCGTGGATGAGCCGCAGCGGCGCGCGGGTACCTTCGCGTGCCTGACTATCTTGCGCGCAGCTCTTCTTGCCTGCCGCACGGCAGTGATCCGTGCCGGTCTTGCTGCAAACTTCACCGCCATCTTGTTGATGGCCGCCACTCGTCTGCGTCTGCCTGCTGCTGCCGTGACACCCGGGTGCTGCTCGTGCTTGGCGACTCTTGCGCCCCTGTGCCTGGAGGTAGTTGCGATGTTCTTTCCTAGCACGGTGGCGGAGATCAGGGTGACAGTCTCCCCCTCCGCCCCCCTCGAAACGGACATGTCCAGCTGCGCCTCAAGCGCGTGAACCACAGCTGCTACGAGCAGCGGGGGCAAATGCTGGACGAAATCGCAGATGCCCTGCGTGGCCATGGCGAGGTCGCCAAAGTGTAGGCCAGTCCAGGATGATCACCATCTTGAGGCAGAGCGGTGCGTACCTGCTGCCCGCGACGATGCCAAGCTGCCAGGCTTTGCACTCGGTGTAGCACCCGTCCAAGACGACGCGCCTCGGCATGCTGTAGATCCTGAGGGCAGTGCGCATGATGTCATTGAGGCCCCACCTCCTGGCTGCCTCCCAGACCTTCCGATGCGTGACCCACTCGAAGCAGTTGACGAAGTCGAAGTAGGTCACCGCGCACACGCAGCCGTCGGCCCGCGCTGCCTCGCAGCACAGCGCTTGTAGCTGAGCGCTCCGACGTGCGCCCTCGGCGGGCCCAGTTATAGGCCCTCCTGTTGGCGGCCTCCCAGCGCCTGGCGTGGGGGATACGGACAGTCGCCAAGACGCGCGCCAGCTGGGGGATGAGGCCAATGTTGCGGAAGCCGCCCGCGGGTTTCGGCATCAGGTAGAGAATGTTGGCTTGCGTTGTCGGCCACGGCGCGCATTTTTCCACTGCATTCAGCACGCTCGCCACGCGCACTGCACCTTGGAAGCCTCCGTGTCGCCATAGGCGTGGGTGCCAGTCGGCTACCCCCAGTCCCGTGGCGGCACGGAGGCGCCCGCACGCCTCGTAGACATCCCTCGGGGTGATCCTCGGGACGGCGTACTCGTTGATTTCGTGGTCGCTGGGCGCCGGGCACCACGGCATGCTGCCGTCGTAGGTGCCGGCCCAGACTGCCTCCCATCCTGCCAGCGCCGCATCTGCGGCCACCTGAGGGTGGGGGAGCTCTTGCTGGTCGCGGGTGTCCGTCGGCTTGAGCGGCTCCCAAGGTACTGCTGGCTTGGTCCACTTGCGTAGGGCTCCCGCTCCCGCCTGGCTATGCTTAGTGACCCAGCGTCGCCAGCCTTGCGCTGCACGTTGCCGCGCTCGCCGCCATGTGTGGTTTCTGGCGATGGTCATGATCTTGGCTACGCAGTGCACGTAGTGCAAGCCCTTCTCGGCGATGGTGGTGACGTCGACCCAGGCGATGGTGCTCACCAGGTGGGCCCAGTTGGCGTCCTGCCACTGCCTCTGCCCCGTCGGTGGGCGGCGCTCTCTTACCGCTTCCGCCCTCGCCGTCGGTCAGTCTTGCGAGGCCACTGGGCCGAGGGTAGCAGAGGTCCGAGGAGTAATCTCTGGGAGGCTCAGGTCGTCCTCCTCGACTCGGTCAAAGGCGTCGTTCAATTCGTCCACGTCGTTGGTTTTCGCATGGCGCCGTCGGTGGTGTCGCTATTGTTGTCGCGCTCGTCGTTGTCGAGCTCATTGTCCTTCCAATTGTTTCAGGCAGGATGGTGTTGCACGGCCTCTTGTGAGGACTCTGGGGCAAGCGGCTGCGGAGGGGACGTGCTGCCACTGCCAGAGTCTGTGCCCTGCCGCATGTAGCAACGCGGCTCTGCAAAGGTCCTGCCAAAAAACCGTCATTGGGGGAGGGACGCCCCTGGCCCTTTGCGATGGTGGTGGCGGCAGGAGGAAGGCGGCCAGGGAGCCTCAGCAGCAGGAGGGCGGGGCAGCGGGAGGCGGGGGCAGCGGGCCGTCGGCAGAGGCGGCGGCGGCCGCAGCAGGAGCGGAAGGCCGAGGCTCCGTGCCGCTCGAGGCAGCTGGCAGCTCGAGCAGCTCGAGCTGCCCGGTACCTCTGGGTCGCTTGCCTGTCCGGGGCGTCCGTGACGGGGCCTCCGTTGGGCGTTGCGCACTGTGGGGGCGATCGCTGCAAGCTGTGAACAAAATGCGACGACGGGCTCTCAGGGACAGTCCCCGCCTCGGAGCGCAGCGGCGGGAACAAGAGGCGGGGGTGATGCAGAAAGGTGCACCTCCTGTGCACCAGAGGGGCCTCGAAGGGCCCCCCCCTGGGGCCCCCAAAAAGGCACGAAAGGTGCACGTGTCCCCCCCCCCCCCACAAGTCATCGCCCCCACGCGAGCGACGCCAGAAAACGGTCGTCTGCGCCGGGCCTTCGTTTTGCTTCCGCCGTCCTCCCGCCGAGGAAGAGAGGCCCCCGAAGGCGAGGCCCTTGGGATGCCCCGCGCGAAGCAAGGCCCAGCTCCGCGGCCCACGTCGGAAGGCGGCCCAGGGCGCCCCCGCACGGCGAAGGTTGGGCGCCGCGCAAGGGGGGGGGGGGGGCGGGGGGCGACACGGGGGGGGGGGGGTAATTAGCGACTGCTGCAGAAAAAGGAGTCCCTTGGAGCCCCTGAAGGGGCTTCTGGGGCCTCTAGAGGAGCCTTCTGGGGCCTGGGGAGTGCAACGCTCACCCCCCCCATGAAGCGACGCCCAAGAAGGCGGACGCGCACGCCGGCGCCCCGCCCCCCACCGAGCGCTCTCGCAGACGGGGCGGCGCTCCTCCCCAACCCCTCCCACTCCTCCTCCTTCTCCGCCGCCTTCTCCGTTTCCTCCTCCTCCTCCTCCTCCTCCTCCTCCGCCTCCTCCTTCCACCGCCCGCCCCATGCCCCGAGTTTGTGGCAGTGCCACCAGCTCGTCGTTGTCGTTGTCGTCGCGGTCGTCGTCGTGGTTGTGGTCGTCGTCGTCCTTCTGGCTCGGCGGCACCGGCCGCAAGGCCTTCACAATACGCACTTCCAACGATCGGCGAGCATCATCGGAAATCTGGGCAAGCAGGGTCAGGCACCTTTCTGGTCCCGGGGGCCTGAGCGCCCTTCCGGCCAGCTCTTTCTGGGCTCCCAGATCCCAAGATCCCAATCTACTCCAGCCGCCTTCGTCCTGCACGAGTCGGGCGGTTTTCCCCCTTTCCCTCCTCTTCAGGGAGGCGGGCGGAAGCCCAGTCTACTTCCAACGCCGTCCTGCTTCATGTTCCTACCCACTTTTTCCGACCGACGGGTATGGTTGTTCTATCCGGCGGTTTCTCCTCGGTCTCGTCCTCTGGTGTCCGTTGTCGGGCCCCGGGCCATCAAGAACGAATCTGGGACGGGAAGCCGCCCTCCTGGGGGAGGGGACGGGACCTCTGGGGCCGCGGAAGTAAGAAATGAGATCGGAGAATGGCTGGGTGTGTGGAGCCCCAGTATGCAGGTGCAACCTTGTGTGCGTGCGTGGGTGGAACCCTGCCCTCCGCCTCCCGCCTGCTCCAGTGCCCCAGTTCGCCTCGGAAGCGCCCCTCTGTCGCTCGAGCGCTGCTGGAGTCAGGCGGCTGCTGACCAAAATGTGTGTGGCACCCTCCGTTCGAGTAGGGGGTCAACTACATAACTGATTGTTCCAAAATTGGTTGGTTCGTCGAATCTACGACAAATGCGTAGAGTGTTCGTAGATCCGACATCTATTCGAAGTATTCTTTCGCAGACCCCACCAAAAGGTTGGGGGTAAGTCAATTCTGGAGTCGATCTCCTACTCGATGTGTGTGTGTGTGTGCGCAGGGGATGGAACCCTTTCGTCTTGCTGACCTGCCACTGTACTTCTGCGGCGCGACGCCGCGCGTGCCTCTGCCCACCGAGATCTGGGTGCAGCCCTGTGAGTGTGGGGCTCCATGAGTGCGGGTCCCTACGTGTGTGGGGCCCCACGTGCGTGGAGCTTCTTGTGCGGAGCTCAGTGTGTCTGGGTGTGTCGGGGACCTTGTGTGTGTGTGCGTGTGAGTGTGTGCGTGATTGCGTGTGCGCTGTCGCTCCACAGTGGTCCCGCGTCTGAGGGCCCTGGCGCGCGCGCTCGCTCGATCCGGCTGCTCGGCTTGCTCCACCCCGTCGCCGCGCGTGAGGCCGCGACCGCGCAAGAGTCTGCGCGTGCGCGCGTGTGTGTGTGTGTGGGTGTGTGAGCACGCGCACCGCTTCGGTTTTCGACACCTGGTTGCCACTGAGCGTGCCTGAGCAGTAACGTTTTGCCGCGCCACTTCACCAGGAAGTCAACGCTTTGCCAATGGGCCACTCTGGATTGACCTCTTCGGCGCCTCGGAGGAATTCGTGTGTGTGTGTGTGTGTGTTTGTGTGTGTGCGTGCGTGTCTGGCCTGGATCCCTCTGTGTGGAGCCCTCCGGCGGCGACGACAGGAACCCTGGCTGTGGAACGCTGGACAGGCGACGGCGAGCGACGGCCAGATCCCGGATCCCGGCCAACAGGCGAGTTGTTTACACCGCGAGTAAGAATGTGTATTTGAACCCACCTTTTTATTTTGGGGGCATTTTATTAATTCTTTAAACCTTTCCCGCACCATCCTGAGGCCCTCTCGACGTGCAACAGTGACGCCGACACCGCCCAATTCCCAGCCGCACGACGGCGCCGTCGATGACGTCGACGCCCACGTCGTCGCGACGGCGACGCTGGGCGAGCGAACGCGACGGCGATGGCGGCGACGGCGACGAAGACGGTGGCGACGGCGGCGGCGACGCCGGCAACCCTGCGGCCGCCCTTTTGCGCTCTGCGCAGGCGCTGGAGGCGCTGGAGATCCAGGAGGACGGCACCTGCGTCCTGGACAGGCAGCACGGCCCGCGCTCCAGGCCTGCACTGCGAGGAGCAGCAGTCGTGTCTCCATCGGCGGCGGCGGCGCCGCCGCCCTGCTCAAGCAGCAGCAGCGCCGCGCGCCGGCAGCGGCGGCCAGCCGGCGGTGGTGGCCGGGTGTGGCCTCGCCAGCGGCAGCAGCAGGACGAGGACGACAGTGGCATTGATGGCGACAGCGAAGACAACGACGCCGTCGGCGGCGACAACGACGATGACGACCGTGCACGACGACAGCGGAGACACCGTCGCTGCTGTCGTCGGCGACCACCAAGGAGGAGGAGGAGGAGGAGGAGGAGGAGGAGGAGGAGGAGGAGGAGGAGGAGGAGGTGCTGCTGCTGCTGCTGCACACGGCTGTCGAACAGGAAACATTATTGTAGATGTAGATATATAGCCTTATAGCCCTATACAGCCCTATAGCCTCATAGCCCTATATCCCTATAGCCCTATAGCCCTATAGCCCTATAGCCCGAATAGCCCGAATAGCCCGAATAGCCCTATAGCCCTATAGCCCTATAGCCCAATAGCCCTATAGCCCTATAGCCCTATAGCCTTACAGCCTTATAGCCCTATATCCCTATAGCCCTATAGCCCCATAGCCGCATAGTCACATAGCCTCATAGCCCTAAAAATATGATGCTTCGTTTTTTTTCTCTGGTATCATGTGTACTCCCTCCCTCTCTAATTGAAATACGCGCGCGCATTCGCACATTTACCGCGCGTAACTCGTCGCGCACAGGGGCGAAGGGGCCGAGGGGAGCACCGCCAGCGAGGGGGCCGAACGAGGGCCCGGCGAGGGCCTGGCGAGGAGGAGGAGGAGGAGGAGGCGACAGAGGGCAGGAGTGAACCCAGATTGCCTCAGTGATATTGGCATGCGCCCTCTGGCCCAAATCCCCATCGCAAAAGTGTCAACGTGCTTTGCTTTTACGCTTAGGGAAGCGCTGCCTTCCTCGAGCGACGAGCGTTGCGTAGGCCTGCCATTCAGTCGAGAGTTCAGTTCTGAACGGGAACTGTTCTCCATCCTTCTATCGATGTGGAAAGCTTAGGGTCATAGAGTTCACAGAACTGTCCAGCGAGAGTCCCAGTTTGATATTGAGATCGAACCGCCTTCTCTCTGTAAAACCGCTGCACGATTTTTCGGTTATTGTCGCAAGCTGTCAGGCAGCATCAAGCGATAACCCCAAGTTGAATGTGTGCCGCCTGCCTTATATGTGCGAAGTTACGGCACAATGTCGAGCGTCTTTGGTCACAACAGTGCAAGATGTCTCAAGCGAGATCCCAGATGCATAGTTTTAGATGCCGGCGTTCACGGCCTGTTGGGCGATCGCCGAATCTTGTAAATGTCCAGTCCTTTATGCGAGTGACGGTCAGCAATGTGCAGGGCGGCTGCGCGCGGCGCTCCCCATGTTTTAATACATCGCAATCCGTACATGCCATTCGTGTTGGAACATGTTAAGGCGAATGTGCGCGATGTTGCGACCGCGACATCTCGCGAACGATTCGTCCTACATGGTGGCATGTGTTGATAGCGACAAGAGTCATGATCATGAGCGGTGAAGCAAGAAGTGTCAGGCGAAACGCCGGGTCAGCCCTACTAACACGTCTGGCTTCGCGACGGGGATCGGCGCTTCTCATAATGAAGAACAGCAGAGGGATGTATGATGATGCTGATGACGGTATGGCTGGTAATGATAGTGATCATGATGACGTTGATGTTGGTGCAGATGTTGTTGTTGCTGTTGCAGCTGCTGTTGCAGCTGCTGTTGTTGTTGTTGTTGTTGTTGTTGTTGTTGCTCTTGTTGTTGCTCTTGTTGTTGATGCTGGTGATGATGATAGTGATGGTGATGGTGATGGTGATGTCGAGAAGGAGAAGGTAGACGTGGGTTCCTCCCCCGCATTCTGTCTCACCGTCCCTCACCCTTCCTCTCACCTCTCTCTCCCTACCACGTTCTTCCTCCCCCTCTTCAGGACGAGAACGGAAGGGGGGCTTTTCGAAAGGGGGTGCGATGGCAACGTGTTAGGGAAGGGCAGGGGTAGAAGGCAAAGGCTGAGGAACAGGTGAGGGTAGGCGAACGAGGGAGGAGGAGGAGGCAAAGGCGGAGAAAAGGGGGAGAAGGCAAAGGTGGAGAGGAACAGGATGATGAGGAGGACGAGGAAGAGGATGCGGAGGAGGTGGAGGAGGAGGGGAAGGGGCGGAAATGAGGACGGCAAGGAGGACGGGAGGAGGCTGGAGGAGGAGGAGGAGGCGACGGGGGAGGCGAAAGAGAAGAGAGAACAGTAGAGGGAGGCGGAGTATGAGGAGAGGGTGAACAAAGGAAGACGATCACGAGCACGCGAAAGAGGTGGGAGAGATGTAGGAGGAGGAGGATCAGGAGGACGACGAGGAGGAGAGGGCGGCGAGGACGAGCAGTTAGAAGAGATGTAGGCGGATGATGATCAGGAAACACTTGAGATGGGAAGGAGGAGACGAGGCCAGAAGGTGATGCTGATGATGATGCTGATGATGATGGTGATGATGATAATTACGATGCTGATGCTGATGATGACGATTGCGGATGATGACGGTGGTGACGGTGATGATGATGATGATGATGATGATGATGATGATGATGATGATGATGATGATGATGATGATGATGATGATGATGTTGATTAGTGATGATGATGATGGTGGAGATGGTGATGGGGAAGGTGATGCTCAGTATGCTGAAGACGTTAAGGATGCTGTTGCTGATGATGATGATGATGATGATGTTGAGGACGATGATGCTGAGGAGGATTGTGATGATGGTGGTGTGATGACGATTGTGATGATGCTGATGCTGATGATGGTGCGGGTGATGCTGATTCTGGTGATGGTGACGGTGATGGAAAGTGTGGTAATGATGTTGATGGTGATGATGCTGGTGACGATGGTGTTGATGAAGGTGGTGGTGGTGATTTATTGATGTTGATTGTGATGGTGGCGTTGATGCGGGTGATGATAATGATGGTAAGTATGGTGCTCATGATGCTGCTGGTGCTGATGCTGATGCTGGTGCCGATGGTGATGATGCTGATGATGACGATGATGACTATGCTGATGATGATGATGATGCTGATGACGATGATGACGATACTGATGCTGATGATGATGGCGACGCAGATACTGATGATGCTGGGGCTGCTGCTGATGATGATGCTGATGATGGTGCTGATGGTGATGGTGATGGTGATTGTGATGGTGATGGTGATGGTGATGGTGATGGTGCTGCTGATGCTGCTGATGTGGCTGCTGCTGCTGATCATGATGGTGATGATGGTGATGCATAGTATACTGCTGATGATGATGATGATGATGATGATGATGATGATGATGATGATAATGCTGATGATATTGATGCTGTGCTCATGCTGCTGAGGTTGATGGTGCTGATGTTGCTGCTGCTGAGGCTGATGATGATGATGCTGATGATGCTGATGATGCTGATACTGATGCTGATGCTGATGCTGATGCTGATGATGATGATGATGACGACGACGACGATGATGATGCTGATGATGATGATGATGATGATGATGATGATGATGATGATGATGATGATGATGATGATGATGATGATGGCGTTGATGATGCTGATGGTAATGAGGATTACGATGATGCACATAGGAGGAGGAGGAGGAGGAGGAGGAGGAGGAGGAGGAGGAGGAGGAGGAGGAGGACGAGGCGGGCGAGGACTCATGGAACAAACTCGAGGTATTTGTGCAGTTGCTGCGGCAGCTGGGTCTTTCTGGGAGTTTCGGGGCCCTCTTGGAATCCTCTTGGTAACCCTGGAAATCTCCTTGGGATCATCTTGGAGGTCATCGATTACAGGATGGGAGGGTGCCCAACTCAGCTGCCCCCTGAGGAGCCGACAAACAGCTTCTTGAGGCTCTCTTGGAGCGCTCTTGGGCGCTCTTGGAGCGGTCTTAGGGGCCGTTTGGAGCATCTTGGGGGCCATCTTGAGCCAGCTTGGGCTATCTGAGGCTTCTCGGGGGCCTCTTGGGGGCCTCTCGGGTGGCTCTTGGAGCCCTCTTAGGACCCTCTTGGAGCCCTCCTGGGGCTCTTTGGGCTCTCTTGGGGGCCTTGGGGCGCCTCTTGGGGCCATCTTCGAGGCTATCGATCAAAGGATGGAGGGTCCAGATCGAGGCCCCCTTCCTCGGGGGCCACGATCCCCGTGAGTGTCATAAGTTGGCCCTCCCAGGGGCCGAAAAGCACACTCCAACCGATCGCGGCCCCTCCCGTCCAGGTCCAGGGGAGGGGGTAGGAGGAGGGGTCAAGACGCCCTCCCCGCCCACAAAGCCGTCTCGCTCACTCCCACCCGCCCTCCCAACACATACGTAGCGCCCGGGCCTGGCCCGAGCCGCAGCATATGCAGCAGTCGTCTTTGGATGGCCAGCTACTGGGGGCCAATCCGCCGCCGCCGCCGCCTCGGCCGCCGCCGCCGCCGCCCCCGCTGCCAAATCGCCGCCGCCGCAGCCGCTGCCGCCGCAGCCGCCGCCACCGCCGCCGCCGCCGCCGCCGCCCCCGCCGCCGCCCCCGCCGCCGCCACCGCCGCAGCCGCCGCAGCCGCTGTTCCCGCCGCAGCCGCCGCCGCCGCCAAGTGTATTATGTTTGGTTTTTGTGACAGGGATGGTTGGGGGCGGCCGCATCGGGTTCGCTGCGCATGCTCCGAATTTGGAGACAGAGTGTGTTTTGTATTGTTGTTTACAACTGATGGTGGGGGCAGATTGTGTTTTGTATGGTTTTTTGAAAGGGATGGTGGGGGGTGCCCGCATGGACCTGGGTTGGCTCCCAGTCGCCTGGGGGAGGGGGTGTATACTAATAGGGAACAGTGATAAACTCCTCCCCGAAGGGGAAGAGGAGGTTTTGGAAGAGGAAAGGATGACATCGTCTGACCACCTGCGCCCAGAGGGCTGGTGGGATAATAATAGTGGCGACGAGTTGGGGATGGAGGAGGAGGAGGAGGGAAGGATAATATCGAGGGGAGGAAGAGAGGAGGGAGGGGGAGGAGGACGAGGAGGAGGAGGAGGAAGAGGAGGAGGAGGAGGAGGAAGGGGGAGGTGTAGAAGTACGGAACGAGGAGGAGAGGGCGACGAAAAGGAAAAGAAGGAGCTCGAAGGCGACGAAGAGAAGGCGGAAAGTAATGAGGAGATTGATGATGAAGATGAGGTGTAGCAAGCGGAGGGGGAAGAGGATGGGGAGTATGAGGAGAGGGGGCAAGTAGGACTGAGGAGTGTGGAGGCAGAGGATGCGGAAAAGGGGGCGAGCTGGACGATCCACAGCCTCAGCAACATCCGGAATACGCCCAACATAGGGGAACATCATCCAGGACGGAGAAACCAACACCTTTTGAAAGGACGTCAAGCTTTTAAATTTGAGCTGCTTGATCTGCCGGGTTCACCTTCCTCCACCTCCCCTCCGCAGCCATGTTTGTCTCAAGGCCCAAACCCTTGCCCCTTGCGCTTGCATCTTGTTCGCTGTCGGGGAGCAGACTTGAGGGTTTTGAATTTGGTCATCAGGCGACCATTTCTCTTTCCTCCTCCCCACGGCTGCACTACTCAGCCACCCGAATGTATCCGCGTCCTCCCAGGGGCGTCACGATCTTGAGCGCTATCCTGCTTGCGGTCAATGTGGCTGTTGCTGGCTTTATGAGTCACATCTGCGTGCCTGCTGCAACTGTAGCGATCGTCCCTTGGTTGATCGTCGTAAGCCCACGGGCGCGTCTACAGTCCCTCGGCCCCGTAGTGAGCCACGCGATGACGAAGGAGGCGTTGAGCTCGATGACCACATGCATCATGACAATGATGATGCCGGTACTTCTGGCATTGAGGCTCGCTGGGACTTGACCACAGTCGCGTGTTGCTCCAGGTGCGCACGGCCTCCGCACAGCAGTTGCACAGCTTACCCTCCAGGATGCCCGTTCTCCAGGGAGCTCGAGCGTGCCCGTCGTGGTATCGCCAGGGGATGCCAGGATGTACGGCATGCTCGCCCCCAGTAAGCGTAGGGCACAGGTGGCTAGGGACCCCTGTTGGATCATCGCTCTGCTCCCCAACGCTATGTGATACTTTTAGGGCAGGGGGAAGTTGTGCTGAACGAGAAGGGTAATATGAAAGTCATAGTCTCTCCCGATGTGGAGGGGGTGCAGTCGGAATCGGCCTTGCACTATTGGCAGGCACAGGAGGCGGCGCTGTACCCAGATGTTCAGGCTCCTGCCCAGACTGTTTCTTCGAAGGGTGCCATGAGTTTCCTCGTGAAGGTCCTCGTGTCGGCCCTTACCCAGAACATCATCAGTTCGCAACGTGTAGATGACGGCTTAGCGATTTGTTTGGGTAGTCAGCAGGAGGCGGGATGTCTCAAGCCACAGCCGGGGCGGCCCTGGGCCCCGTCCACCTTGTCGGGAGATTTTCGTGGCGCTGGCAGCCTGGCTTGGCCCGATGATATTCCGATCCATCGCCAGGCCCCCAATGAGGATGTGTTCCAGGACGGGGCTAGGACAATGATAGATCCGTTTCTGGGACGCTCTGAGGTGGCCGCCGCGCCCGATACATCCTCCAGAGCCGCCGGATCTCAGACATTCTCGATCTATCCCCACCCGATGTCATCCTGGTCCTGGCTTCGTCGTGCATGTGTTCGATCCTGGCGCCGTGGACTGGGACGCTCGAAGGCAGGGTCCATCGGGGACCTCCTCGTGCTGCCCCCGATGCTTCGCACGGAGGGTGGCCCGGAGCAGGTCTGTGGGGGTTCGGGGTGGCCCGCCCCCCTGCACCAGCACAGGTCGTTGGTCCCCGAGCGTCCCTCGCAGGACCTGTCTGCCTTCGCCTCCCCGCCCCCCGGGCCGCCCCCGTGCCAGCCTCTCCTCCCCCCTCGCCTTTCACCCTTGGCTGCCCTGATACGCCCGTTTTGGAGCGCAACGCGTGCCGTGTTCAAAACGTCCGTGTCAACACGCTGCGTGTTGCCCGGGCACGTGTTGGCCCACGTTTTTTAGCGAACGTGTCGGGCCAAACGTACGTTTTTTTCAGTCTGCGTACTGAGTTCCGTGTCAGCACGCTACGGGCTGCGTGCTGCGTTCCGGGGCAGCGAAGCTTCCATCTTTCCCCTCCCGCTCGTCTCTTACCTGCCCCCTCCCTCGCCCCGATGGCACCCAGCAGCCCGTCGAACCTCCTCCTCCTCCTCCTCCTCCTCCTCCTACTCATCCTCAGCATCCTTCTCCTCCTCCTCCTCCTCCTCCTCCTCCTCCTCCTCCTCCTCATCATCATCATCATCATCAGCATCCTCATCATCATCATCAGCATCCTCCTCCTCATCATCATCATCATCATCATCATCATCAGCATCATCACCATCATCATCATCATCATCATCATCATCATCAGCATCATCAGCATTATCATCATCCGCATCATCAGCAGCATCGTCCTTTCTCCCCTCTGTGCCTGTGCCGAGCGGGGCGTCGGCCCCAGATCAGGGCGGGTGCCCTCGCTGGCTGCCTCTTCTGCCACTCCTGGCTCGGCAAAGGG